TAAAAAATATGTTGGTTAACGAATGAATTAATACAATAAACACTCTTTAATCGTTGTCATAATTTCTTTCTAGTAACCTGTAACAACTGCTGTTACGTACATACCACTTCAAACTTGGATGTCACACACTGGCTTAAAACAGCCTGGGAACAGCCGACTGAGAAACTATTTCTGTTTTCTCAACCGCACAAGCTCGTCATTCTACTTTGCATACTTGTCATTTTCCAAATAATTCCCCCTTAAGCAATGTGCTTCGGGTTGACTACACTCAATTACAAAGACATGTATAGTATGACTATTCTTCACAGTCAACACAGCACAACAACAACCTGTCTTGGTAACACATACGAGACAAAGGCACTAATCTCACCTCCTCGAACCCAGCGCACGGGGCTTCCAGCGACATGTGTTTGTTCACCTCGGGGCCTGAGCTGTTGGGTTCATTGGCAAAAGGCATCAGGGATTTGCGGATCTCCTGTAGGGCCTTGTGGTAGGGGTTTTTGGGGTTGATGCAGCGCCCTTGCTGCCTCGGATCCTCAGGGAGCATTTTCCCAGCTCCACCTACGTCCACTTTCGGTGGATCTGAGGGTTTGGACAGGTTGCGCAGGCTGTTCCTTATTTCCTGCAGCATTTGCTGGCTGTTGCCGCTGTAGTTGCTGGCGGGGAACGTTTTGGGCCTCATCTGTCGGTATCCTTCGGGTTTCTCCCCTCTCTTCATGTAAACGCATGTATGGTGACGATGGAGGGGGAATGAAGAGGATGTTACTCAGTTCGGGGGGTGCAGAAGGAGGCGGCCGGGGTCTGACTTCACATCTGCATCCTCCTGAAAACAAATGAGTAGGAATACAGAGCACATGTCATGTTACCTAACAGGTTTGGCAAATGAGATGTGGTGATTGCAGTTATTAAGAAATAGTGACAGGTAAACATGAGGAGCTCAGTATTGGTCAGGATGTCATGATTGAAAGCTGATTGATTGATAATTTATAGATTAAAGCTTCTTTTTTTTAATAGAATCAAAACAAACCAGGCTAATTAAAGACAACAACTAGTTAAAGATTCAATCAAAATATAACAATAACACGATGGTTTGGGGGCAACAGCCACAACAACAGCAGATAACAGGATATTTTAAACAAACTTTCCACTTGACGAATTACATTTTTAACATTTGTCTCGTTTAAAACTATTTTTAAAAAAATCAACAAAGTGGAGAATCCTGCCTCCGAAATAAAACCTACACCTCCACAAAACAAGAGCCCGTCCACCTGCTAGCATCGTTAGCACTGTGCGCTAACGGCTCGCCGCTGCGGCGCTAATCCAGCGTCCGCACGATGCTAACGCGACTCCGCGGAGCTTCTCGCTAAATGACACTAAAAAAAATAAAAATAAAAAAACACCCGGAAACCGGCGACTGAACCGAGCGGCGGGATGCGTTTTATTTCTTTATGCCGCTTCGTGAGGAGTCTAACGGCGCAGCTGCGACCCCGCGGCCCTGCGCGTCACGCAGGCGTCCATTTGCTGCCGCTAGGCTAACGACAGGTCCGGGTGTTAGCATGTAGCTCGTTGTGCCCGCGTTTGACAACTGACCCGGGGGGGTCCGTAGCCGCCGCTTTACCTCGACGCTTCTCCGGCTCCGACAACACTCCTCGAGTGTTTCCCCCCCGCGACAAGGACGCGATTTCGAGGTCAGTCGCTGCGTCGAGCCGCTCGTTCTCCGGAGCTGCCGAGTTCCTGGGACGTGAGTGACAAGTACAACAGACACCGAAGCTACACACGGCACTTCCGCTGCTTTCACAGTAAAAGACCAGTAAACAAACAAAATAATATCACTTTTTTTAAACTTTAAAATCTAATGATCTCACATATACACACACACGGAACCTTAGTTCAGAGAACAGCAGGTGATTCCACCTACACAACATATAAAGTCCCTCACACACTTGATTTAAATGAGAAATAAGGTTTTCACACAAATAAAAATAAACAGCGATAAAAATATTTTCGCAGGAGAAATACACTCGATAGAACTGATTAAACCAACCAAGATACATTTCCAGAACCAGAATATCAATTTATAAAATTTTCAAATTGTATTTTTGTGATCATGGCAACACAAACACACCACAGCAGAATCCTTGCATGTGTAAATATGTTTCCTCTCATTCTCAAGACGTTTTCACATAAAATAAAAGTGTTAACCTAAATATAACGCCCCGGTCTTCTGTTACCTCTATTTTATTTTATCAAATTATTTATCAATGCTCAAGTAGCAAAAGGAAAAAAACTGAATAAGCCAATTTTCACTAGTTGTCCTTGTCCTTATGTTAAAACAACCGTTCATTTGACCCAAAACAAAAATCAATAAATAGAATATAATATGTTCATTTAATAGTGCCGTATAAGGTTAAGCTGCAATCTACCCGTATATAACATATATAAGGAATTTAAATAGTATTCCCCAGAAGTAACCTAAATCTTTTAGATGCATATTCTTTCAGTTTAATAAAACATCATGATCTAGTCTGCGGCAAATAGGCTGAAAAAAACTAAACCTTTGTACAAGTGCTGTGTTTTGAGCTTTTAATTTTAAAAGAAATACAGGAAACAGTGGGAGAGGAATGTTTGGGTGAAGCTTCAGTCAAGTTCCCCGGATGCAGCGTCTTCACTTTACCTCTGAACTTGTGTTTACCTGAGCTCAGTGAACTAATCTGAACTGGTGAAGTAGAAATATATTTGATAAACAGCAGCAGAGGTCATTGAAACTCTCTGTGAAAAACACTTGTGTCATTTATATTTTATTGGTTTATTTATTTATTTATTTCAAAAACAGTTTAAACAAAAACATCCATACAAAAAGTACAGCTGAACTAAAATACTCTGCTCGGAATGATTTACAAAAAGAATTAAACCATAAAGATTCATGAATGCATCAACAAAACGGATCAGAAAAACACACAAGTAAAGCCACAATATCACAAACACACTTGTGGACATCTTTTTTGATATTTGATCAAAGCAGACAATAAAACCTCAGTTAGGACCGAAATTGGCTGCAAATAAATATCCTGTTCTCTTGTGCACTTCAAACTGGGATGTGCCTGTTGACAAAAATAGCCTCTCCGTCAGTCCCGCAGACGAGACACTGTCCGAGTACGTCCAGGCTGTTGACCGACAGCGTCTGGCTGGGCAGCATGTGAGTTGTCTCCAGGCGTCCTTTACTGGAGTCTCCGCTCAGCCAGGCGTTGACGAGGGACTGGTTCCCTCCGGCTGGAGCCATCGCACTGCGTGACATCATGCTGTTGTTCCTGCCACCTGGGAACACCACAATAAAACATATTGGATTTGAGATCATTGTGATTACTGTGCCTTTATTATGTTGGCGTATAGATTCCAATATGCAGGGTTATTTTATAACTAATACATGAAATATACAAATATCCTCTTTCTAAGGCAGAAGGATTAGTTTCTAACATATGATGATTGAAATATGTGACATGTAGTCTTGCCTTGTAGGAAGGAGGGCATGTCTGAATGTGAGGATGTTTCCCAGTGTAGCAGCGAGCCGTCCTCTGAACAGGTGAACAGATGGTCTGGGTTGGTTGGGTGGAAGTGGACCTCCCACACTAGACAGAAAACCACAGAAAAACATTTACAAGCTGTTATATAAGAAAGCTGCAGTTATTGCAAAAAGAGAAATATAAATGTTTCCACAAGTTTAAGTCTTACTTTCAGCAGAGTGTGCCTCCATGAGTGAGAAGGGAGCGTTGCTTTGTCTCACATCCCAGACACAGAGCATGCCGTCCTGGCCTCCTGTGGCTACGATGTGCTGTTGGTTCGGATGTCTGTCCACACAGTGCAGAGGGACTCGATCCCCGGAGCTGAGAGGAAAACAACTTGTCAGTTTTGCTTATAATGTAAAGAAAAAGCAAAATCCCATGTAATCTGCTTATATCATGACTAGAGATCTTACAGGGAGAGGATCTGGGACGGCGAGTTGCTTTGTTGTCTGAAATCCCACAGCTTGAGTTGGCCGATCGAGTTCACTGTCAAAATCTCTGTTGTCCTCAGATAAGTCACCGCATGAATCGTGCTGCTGTCTGCATTCTCTATTGATGATTAAACAGTCCAGTAAAACATGTTAGTCATCATTCATTACATTTTATTGTGAAATGTTGCAGCTTAATCTTAGTCTCACCTATGACTCTGATCACTGCTTCCTGGTCGGCTCTGAAGACGATGATTCTGCCGTCTTCACCGACCGTAACGATCTCTGGACTGCTGCACACAACGCCAGTGCAGGGGGTGTTGTCACAAGGGTAACGATGCGCTCTTGCCCAGTGCTGAGCAACTGATATTGTCTATGGATGAGAGAGAGAGAACAAAAAAGAATTGAGACGATCTATCAAACCACAAATATGTCACACAGTTTCCAGTTAAGCAGTTGGTCAACAGTTCTTTCCCTTAACTGAAACATATTTGTGGAGCCATTTCCATGGAGCAAAAGGTTTTATAAAGTCATAAATAAAATACCTTGTGGCAATTTGCAGTTTTCATAAATGTTATAAATCATACACAAATTGAAAATCAGAATAACTACTTCAGAAATGCAAGATGTCGTGTTTACTCTGTCTTTGTTGTAACATGTTTTTATAAATTGTTTGTTGTTTGATATATTTAACAAGGTGCATCAAATGGAAGTAAAAGATATTACATTATTGTCCTTGGTCTGTTGGTAATGGCTCCTTGTGTCTCTCCTTCTGGACCATGTGGTAGTAAAATAAAGTTATCATTATTATAAAGTAATTGGTATAATCTGTACCTGACTGTTTTGGTGGTGGCGGTAGATGGTGACTGCTCCAGTTGAAGATGCTGTTACGATTCTGTCTTGATCCAAAAACTGTAAAATATTAAAGGACCAGTGTACAGACTCAAATCAATATTGCCTTGCAAGTCTTTGTCACTGTTATATTGGCCTGTGAGGGGAAAAGTTTACGAGCTTCTGCATTAAGAAACTTACCTGAAGGTCTAAAACATCTCCATCATGCTTGTGTTCACACAACAGCTGAGGATCTCCTTCAAATCCATCGTCCATGTCTGAACTTCCATTATTCCCAATGGACCAGATGGAAATCTTGTTGTCCTGCAGACACATTCACAGGAGCTGATGATAACATGCAATGTACGTTGATTGTTAAACAGACCGAACATTATTCAGAAAGGCAAATATATACTTTTACTCAAGAGCTTTACTTGAGTACAGGCTTGACAAATCTTATATCTCCAGTCCGCTGATTTCCTGATGCAGATATTGTATTTATTCCCTCACCAAATACACATTAAAATTATATTTCTGTAAAATATGTTAATTCAGTGCTACAGCTGAAACTATCCATCAGGATATAAAGAAGTTAAAATGAGCTCCACATCAACCATTAGACACATTAGACGAATGCTTCCTAACCAAAGCTGCATCAGTAATAATATTCCTATACTGTGATATATGATAACATAACTCAGCAAGTACTTTTAATGTACATGTAACACAGTATTTATAGAGCAGCAGTACTAGTTTCATTCTATTAAAACAAATATAAAAACAAATAGGCCCACAAAGACATTCAAAACACACTTTTACACTTAAATACATATACTTTTTTTTACACTTTTCTCGTTTATCGCGATCACAACACTTGATCGTGCAGTAGATTCGAGCCGAATTGACACTTTACGATTCCCAACGCGCTTCAACTTATTATCTGACCGCTACGAAATAAGCAACCCCGTAAATTTACGAAATGAAATATAATTGAGCGTTTTTTCCTATGAAGTCCGGTGTGAAGTTCACTATAAATATCAAGCTGCCGACCTCGTTGTCCCACGAACCGGCCGCAAAGATGTCCGGCTGCTGCAGAGTGGACACGGACACCGGTTTCCATCTGGTCCGGCTGACCTTCTGTGACACGTACTTGGCGTTTACATTCTCCATCGGAACAGAAACTGTCTCTCGCACTTTAAACCAGAAGACGTTAGCCGGCGTTAGCTTAGCATCCAGGAGAGAAACCGAACCGTGCGCGCCCACCGCGAGTCTGCTGGGGACGGTGGCTCGGCGGGGTCAAAACACTCCTGCAGCAAATGGGAAGGAGAATGAGCGCCACCAGCTGGTGAGAAATATACAGTTAATAATAATTATTATTATTATTGCTAATGTAATAATAATGAAAAGTTTCTTTAAATGCAAACAACAGCTTCAACTTTTCACGCTCGTCATAGTTTTGTCATGTCTTGTATTTAGTCTCTTGTTTATAGGCTCTTTCTTTGTTCTCTTGTGTTTTAGTACTTTACTGTGTATTCCAGTATTTAAATGAGTATCATTAGCTAAAGGAGTATATGTATAGTTATTATATTATTTTATGTTCATTACATTCTATTTTGAGCGATGTCTAAGTCTTAGTAACTGTTTTATTGCTTCTTCTCTCTAATTGCAATGTCCATCCATCCATCCATCTATCTATCGCTCTATCCATCAATCTCTCTCTATCTATCCATCCATCCCTCCCTCTATATCCATTCATACATCTATCCATCCACCCATCAATCCCTCCATCCCCCTCTCTATATCCATCTGTCCATCCATCTATCTCTCTCTATCATCCATCCATCATCCATTCCTCTCTCTCTACCAATCCCCCTCTCTACATCTATCTACTAAAGGATGATCTATCCATTCATTCACCCAAATATAGAGAAACGTGGGTTTCCACAACATGTCTCTAGCGCCACCTAGCGACCAGAGTCCATAGAGCTGCTGCAGATGTGCGGGACTCTGGGTGGATTGTGTTTTATTCTCAGGTGAATGAACCTGATCTGACGTGAACTACCCACACTCATCGCGTCGAGGGTTCGATGCCCCCCGCCGCGCTCGCCTCCACGTGCACCGCCCTGCGCTGCTCGCGGGCCGCCCCGCAGTGAGGCGGGTGTCCGGATGCCCGGTGACGTCCCCGCCGCTCCGCCGGCTCCTTTGGAAGTCGTCGGCTTTCTCGGTAAAACGTTCGGCGCAGGCGCGGCACTGACAGCTGCCGTCTACTTACTCCGCAAGGTCTGCCTCACGATGGCCTGGAAATCTGGAGGAGCCAGCCACGCAGAGCTCGTCAACAACCTCCGCAGTGAGTAGTTCGCACAGCGGCGGCCCTCCGCGCACCGCTCGCCCGAGAAAAACGCTTCATTTCGCGGGTGGAGGTTCTCGGCGCAGCGCGGTGGCTAGCCCACCTAGCAGGCTAACTAGCTAGCCGTGTGGTCAAGTTGTTGTTGACCCAGCGCTGCCTCTCTCTCTCCTCCCCTTTGCCGGAGCACGTTCACGCCGTGGATCACATGTCTCTGCATCGCTGCTGAATTGAAACACTCACACATGTTTGGTTTTTATTTTATTTGTGTTCGCGGGATATTTGTTGTATTTTCTTTGGGGGGGGGGGTGTGTTAGCTCAGCGTGCTAGCTCTATGTGCGTCATTGTAGCTGGCGTTAGCCGCGCTGCTAGCTGCCCTGCCCACACTCCTCCCTGCACCATTCACCTCCACCTGAATGACGCTGACAGCTGCGGGGAGGCTGCCTCTGTTTTGCACCTTTATTTAGCGGATGACTGCAACAGACGAGCTGCAGTGTCACTGCGGCTGCCGGGTGTTTGTTCAGGTGGCGGGGGGTGAGGGTCGGTCTAAAGTGGGCGGTGAGTCGGCGGGGCACCCCGCTGGGATCTGGTCTGATGGATGCCGCCAGTGCCACGTGGTTCCTGCTGCAGCCCAGACATTAGAGCATTGTGTGGCGACAGAGGCAAAGTGAAGCAGCCTCTGATCTGCACTGAAGGTTTCACCTACACCGAGCAACGTGATGTGCGGTGTCATCGTATCTGAAGAGTATGCAACTCCACTTTCAATATTACATTTCCACCAGATGCTATTTATATTCTGCTCGGTCCAGCTCTGCAGCAATGTTAAGCTGCAAGCGTTTGGAAACTGACTCGTCTTCCTGTACTTGCTCCCAATCAAAAGCACAACTTGTATATTCTGCCACATTTATCAAAATATGATCTCAGATCAGTCGTGTCTGTCCTGCACAGAGGAATTGAAAACAACGATCTACATAAGGAAGTTGAATCCAGCCCCGCTGCATGCGAAGCTCCTCACTGCAACATAATAAAATGTTGGACTTTACCCACAGTTTGGCTTTCACATGCACAACACAGCACAGGGGGGTTCTCTGCACGCACTATTCAACACAGTCATGGCAGTGATGCTAATCTCTTCCCATCATCAGCTCAAGATCACGTTTTCTTTCTTTGCGGTGGTTTAGCAGCTTGTCAAATTAAAAGGACGTGGTCATTATTTAGATTTCCTGCTCCTCCTCCTGATTGAACCCTGGACTGGACACTGACCCATTTAAACACTCAAATGGCTTAAATTTAACCCAGAGTGAGCACAAGCTGGATTCATGCAGGTCACACACAGGATGCATGCTAATTCAAAGCTTTGTCACTGTCTCTGTCCTCCTGATCACGCTGCTCAGAACTGCTCTGTTCACCCAGTTGCATTTGTCTCAGTGCCTCATGAATGTTTAAAGTTCAGCACTCAGTTGTGTGTCGGAGGAAGATTAAATGTGCCTTTTGAATTGTACTCGTTCTAGGCTTGTTTACAGCAATAATTTTGGATGGAATAAAAAATAGCTCAAAATCAGCTGGTGTGTGTTATTTTAATTTCAAATATCAGTAGTAGCTGTCCATCTGGTGTATTTGTAATGTGTCCAAAAGCAGTGCATAGCTCTGAGGGTGAGGGGAGTCAGTAATGAGAGCGGTGCCTGCTGTCGTTGGCGATTCCTGCCTTTGCCACCAGCTGCTACAGGAACCTGTTAGAAGAGAGAAATCTGAAGACGCTAATACTTTTGTGGGGGAATTATATATTTCCTCTCCATATGGGCCAGGGTCTAATAAGAACTCCTGCTCGTCGTTTTGGTTTTTACGATGCAACTCATAAAGGTGCAGGTACTAACTGAAGATTGACACAGTATATATAATATTGCATATCCCCAAAATACCTGTAAATGTACTAATTAATTGTTTATCGTCTAATATCTGTGAATTTGTTCTTACCTTAAATAGTTTATTTATGTGCTGTTTGTCTCTGTGCTGCAAGATTGTGTCATATGTTTCCTCCTGGTGTTTTTTCTTGCATGTTGTGAGACAAACTTTGTTTCCTCCACAGAAAATGGCATTATTAAATCCGACAAGGTCTATGAAGTCATGCTGGCCACAGACCGATCCCATTTCTCTAGGTGCAATCCCTACATGGACTCGCCGCAGTCAATAGGTACGCACTCGTTACACGCTCGTAAATTCAAACAATCAATGTGAGGGATGAACTGACAAAATCTCTGCCTTTCTTCTAACTCCAAGGTTATCAAGCTACCATCAGCGCCCCACATATGGTAAGAAAAGACTCCCAGACGTTCTTGTTCCCATTCCGACATTTAGACGATAGCAAAGAGAAGCAGCCAGAGATGTTTTTTTTTTAATGGATTAAGAAGATAACGGCCAACCAACCCCAAGCAGTTTCATGGATTTGTATTGACCTCTGGCATGTTAGCTTTGTCAAATCCTTATCGTATGTGGCTTTCTGAAGTGAGCAAACTTCACCCCATACATATCCTGATTGGTCTCATCAATGTGCCCCCCCAGCACGCCTACGCCCTGGAGCTTCTACACGACCAGCTGTACGAGGGGGCCAAAGCTCTGGACGTGGGCTCCGGCAGTGGAATCCTGTCCGTCTGCTTTGCACGAATGGTGAGCCACACACATGACGGGTAAACGCACACAACTTCTCTACGGTGGCTTTCTACATTTAATGTACCCATCAGCTGGACAACCGGTCGACGTAAAATCAGATGAAGTTCTTTGTGTGTATGAAGTGAGCCTCATCCCTCCCTCTACTCTTTACAGGTAGGTCCTAAAGGGAAAGTTATAGGTATCGATCATATCAAAGAGCTGGTAGATGATTCTATAACTAATGTGAAGAAAGATGACCCCAGTTTGATGACATCAGGCCGAGTCACGCTCACAGGTAAGTTGTCATTCACTAAATTTACACAGACACCATTAATCCAACTGTTAACCTTATTCTGAATAGCATGTTAACATGAGCTGCTAATAGTAACACAACAAAACATTTTCCTACAGACTGAAAACGTGTCGGCTGATGCTGTTGCTTGTTTCTTGTCAATTAATAATTTGAAAATAAAATGAGCAGTTAAAAGTTTAGATAAACATCACAGCCAAATGTTATTAACCGACCTACTTGATGACGATACGCACCCGCGTGTGTTTCAGTGGGAGACGGGAGGATGGGCTACGAGGAGGAGGCACCTTATGATGCCATTCATGTCGGCGCCGCAGCACCCAACGTCCCTCAAGCTGTGAGTCTCACGTTTTTCCAAATGACTTCAAAACGGGGAATGAATGTAACTCAAGAAATGTATTGCAAATCTGACTTTGTCATGTCATTCTACACCATCCTGGACATTTGTATCCTCATGCTCTCAACCCTCCCTCCTCTCCCAGCTTCTGGACCAGCTGAAGCCCGGCGGTCGGCTGATTCTCCCCGTCGGCCCGGCGGGAGGAAACCAGATGCTGGAGCAGTACGACAAGATGGAGGATGGCAGCACCAAAATGAAGCCCTTGATGGGGGTGATTTATGTGCCTTTAACAGACAGAGACAAGCAGTGGTCCAGGTGGAAGTGACTTCCTTCTCCCTCCCCTCCTCCCCCCTTCTCTGCTTCTCACAGTGGCAAAGGTGAAATGGTGTGGCTCGGAGCAGGCAATGGATCACGAGGGGCTGCATTTTGCTGCTTGTCGACATTTTTTGCTTCCTCCATACCACACCAGCTAGCTGCACGTTTCCTTCATTTTAACTCTAAAGTGGTCAGTAAAAACCTGCCTGACCTTTTGGAGCCAAAATATTGAAACCATTAATGAATTGGTGTCACGTGTGAGGTTATATGCTTGGTTTTCAGAGCATGACTTCTTCATTTGAATTCTAATATGACATTAAACCCCAGTTGCCTGACTTAATCGTTGACTCTGTGAGATGTAGAATAATCAAAACTGTAGCTGTTTGGATTTTATTGTGACAACGATTCTTAATATTTTGCATGTGATTCTAACTCTTGAGTTCTTGCACGACAAGTGTGATTGTGTTCCTAACAAGCCGCTCGTCTGTTTCTCCATTCTGACGTCTGACTTGTGTTTCTCGCAGGGATGAACTTTGAAGAGGAAGACCCTCCCTATTCCACCTTTAAGTTTGAACCTGGGGAAGACTTGGATGGGGTCGAACAGCCCTCGTCATGTTGCAAGCATAACAAAAACAGGCTCTTTTTTGTTTTAAATCTAACGACGGACAACCAGTACCAGATCGATGACAGCCCAGAAAAAGGCTGGGGAGAAGGACTGCTTCAAGCTCGGCACAGAAAAAATGGGAGAGAGCTTTTTGCTTTTCTTTTTCAGGTGCGCATCTTTTTGGTTATGTTTTCTTTTTAACCGCTGGATTTAATTTTTTTTCTTCATTGTTTAAAATGCAGTCAAGACGTTTTTACAGTTTTACATTTCAGCAGCATCAAAGCTGAATGTAGGAGGGACGCCGGACGAGGAGGAGGAAAACCTGAGACTTTTAGATAACTTAACTAGCTACAGCGTGTGTGCTCTCTTCCCCTGCCAGCAGTATTAGGATCTCACACAGACACACACACACACCCAGGCAACACAACAACTGATGTAACCCACTTTATCCTGTTTGATGTGCTGCACCCTTTAGGTCATTCTACACATAGAACAAGCTACGCAGTGGATCATGCCGAGCCTGACTCCAGAGAGAGCGGCGCACTAACAACACTGATACACGTGCACATCCAGGGCTGCGCTTTCCACTTGGTGATGTGCTGCTTTTCTGCCATTAACAAACTTGTGCAGGCTCTTCTGGTGGCTGACACTAAACGGCATCGTCACTGCTTTGCCAAAACATTGTCCAACAATATAAAGCAAATGAATGTGTGTTTTCTTGAAAGAAAGAAAGAAACAAAAAAAACCTACATGGATAAAAAAAAAAAAAAAAGCACATTTCATTTTGGGTGAACTGCGTGGTGGGTGATACCTGGCTTTCACAGTTTATGGAATGGCATATGAAATAAAGAGATGTTTCACGTCTGACATTTGTTATCGAATCTTTTGTGTGCAGGCCACAAAATATAGACTGTAAATAAAGATGGACGACGCCTCTCCTCTTCCTCCCGTGCAGCCATCTTGCAATTTCGACGTTTGGAGGCAGATTCTGTGCAGCAGCGACAGTGGTGTGGAGCTGCTGTATCAAGGTTTCACCGATACACGACCAATCAGCTGTCAATCGTGATGCTTCACCCCTCTTTTTTTTTATGTCATCAAATAACGAAAACCAAACTTATCAGAAACATGAAGACTTGAACAAACACGAGTGATAAGAACAACCTAAAGTGACAGAAACCATCATTAAGAATAAAAAAAGTCGAGTACATTGACTTTATAGTTTAGTCCATGGTCCACCTGCTTACATGTAGGAGGTCAGGTTTAAAGGCAGCCACCAGGGGGCGAACAAGATGATTTGACTTCACTTGTAGTGAGCTACCATGTTGTGGTGGCTGCAACCTAAAGTCTAAAGAGGTCAGGAGCCAAGATTCCTTCAGCACACCCCCAAACTGATAAATAGTAAAATCTTCTATGATGTTTAAAGCTCTGACAACTTCTCTTGTTCATAAAGAAAAGAAATTGGTAATGACCTCGTTGTTTGAAACATCTTTAAAATACAGGTATTGTATTTGTATAAATCATCGTCAGCACATCACACCAATATTTTTCGATATATAATAAACTTTAATATCTGACATGTAAGACAGCACTTAGAGGAAACACATCTGCGCAAATACAGGCACGTACTCCACAAAAAAACGTTTGCTTGATGAAGACGTATGCAACAGATCCAGGCAGGAGTGGGACTGGACAGGATTCACTACGGTAACTATTATTCTGGGATATTTAAAGAATAACTTCAACAACAGGCACTCCAGAGTATTAACACAAATTCCAACGTTGATTTCTGACAGAATAATTAATGGATATTGAAAATAATCCGTCATGTTTAGGGGACTGTTATCTGTGAGTGTGTAATTTGGTGCAGCTCGATTGAAGCTCGGTATGCGTTCTACTGAGTTCCTTTCTCGTTCATCACGGATTCAGCACAAGCATGAACTCACAAGCGTCTGACTCGGTTCTGACAGCAGCAGCAGGTTCACCAGTCGGAGGTGGACAGTGTAGAGAGACGTTCGTGACGCCAGAGAGATATTTCCTTCCTGACGTGAGGACAAATAAGAGACGAGACATTCAGAGTGCAAATTTCAAAAAGTCCTGGCTCAAGCTCTTTGTGTTTGACGACCACATCGTCTGCGATTCTCATCCGTCAGATCTTAATATTCGCTGCCCCTGGTCGGTTGGCTACAGGTACATGCCGTTGATGAGGTAATCCGACTCCTCCGTGGTCAGGGGCCGGGTTTTCTTCAGCTTGTGGCGAGCGAGTCTGAGGCGACAGCCGATCATGAGCAGCAGCAGAGCAGTGATGATGAGTCCGAGAGCCAGAGGGAGGATTGCCCCTGGAGGAGCAAACAAAGTCATTACACATGAACCATTAATGGAACCAGAGCCGGACAGAAACACACGCGTCTGGTCTCACCATACTCCGGGACAGGATGTCCTCCCTTTGCTGGCAATGGTTTAGAGACGGGGACGTCGCTCTCTGCTTGGCTCTGGGAGACTTTAGGTGCAGCTAAAGCAAAAACACAAATACAGCTCAGGTCATGAAGCTGACTCATGTCAGTTCTTTAAAATAATGACAATAATAAATGTACCTATCTCTGTCTGTCTGGTGATGGGAGGAGCCACAGTTGCTGGTTTGAAAGCTGGACCTAAAACATAATCCCACTGTTTGTCAAACGTAGTTTTATGATGTAGTTACAAAAGGACAACAAAAAAAAAAAAAAATTCTCACTTTTTTGTATACATTCACCGACGCAGTCTGATTCCTGCAGGAAGTTGTTGTGGTTGCCCTGGCAGCCGCCGTACAGGAAGTGTTTGCATTCGCCGGCGCTTTGGTCGTAGTACCAGCGAGGGAAGGTTCCTTTACAGGGTCCGACGACTGGAGCTGCAGCACAGGGATCTGCAGGAAACAAGACACAGAAGAGCAGAGTGATGTTTCACATAAAATACACCGTGACCCTGGTACTGAGCTTCTCTATCTCTTTATTTCAGGAGGTTTGGTCAATTTGGAATCCATACTACAACTAACCTGAAGGTTAGAGCGGCGCCTCCGCTAACCTGAAGGTCGATGGTTTGATCCCTCGTCTCCTCCTCCATTCCCACTAAATTGCCCCTGATGGCTACTGCTGCATGAGTGGGTGAGTGCTACTCGTGGTTGAAAGTCAATTTACTTTCAGTGATGTCTTTTGATGTCTCTCTTCGTGTTTTTAAGTTATTTTTGAAGCAGAAACACCGAAGATTCAGTGACTGTAGCTCCTCAAATGTTTTGATTTGATTGAAAATGAAAAGGTTGTGTTGGTTGTGCTGCAGGTTGAAAAATAAAATAGAAATATGAGGGTGTCATCTCAGGCTTTGGGGGACTGTGACAGACGTCATTAATTGTTTTCTGACATTTTATCGACTAGGATGTTTATTTCAAAAAATGAAGGATTCCGTGATGGAGGATTTTCTCCATTTCCCCCCCAAAAAACAGAGGGATATTAATGGTGCTTTTCACTTTGACGTCTTCTCCCTCATCTCAGCTATGATTTCTCATTTGAGTTTGGACGGAGCAAAGAAAAGACTCCTGAGAAAACACCTCACTCATATGATACCTGTGGTAAAACAGCGAAGGGGGACGATGCCCTTCAGGTCGGTCTCTGATTCGGGGATCAGGTTGCGGACGGAACAGAGGAGCTTTGTTCCAGAACCGAGCTGTTTTTTTTTCCAGCCAACATTTTCAGCTCCGTGCTGTGACTCAGCAGCTGCCTACAGGGCCTCCATCTGCTTCTTTATCCAGACTCACACTAAAACCATCTCTGCCTCTTTACAAAGGGACTCTGCACTAATGACGCAGCTCATATCGTCGAGAACATTTCAACAAAAGCAGCTGAAGTAAAAAGAAATGCTGGTCACTTAAAACTCATCCATGTTTATCGTGCATGTGTCATAAAACCTGCCTCCTCCATGTTAGTGGATGGTACGTGGACCAAACAAGGAATATGTCAAATACCTTTATAGTAGTTTCTCCTTTATTTTCCTCTAAGTTTGATTCAATTAGTTATTTGGTTTATTTGGTTGAATGTATTGGCCGGACTCGACAGTCGGAGCAAGCAGAGAAGCGACACCCATCTTTATATAACGTCTATGGTTGCTGTTATTTGAAATGAAATGTTGCAGAGTTTGAGTTAAGAGCTTTAAATAACCAGAATCTTACCTTGACTGACTGAAGTCCCCTGCTGGCTGGGACTTTGAGGAGGAGCGATCTTGGTTCTGTCCTCAGGTTGCACGATGTTCTCCACGTTCTTCCTGGGTCCGTCCCGGAGCCTGGGCCCAGCCTCTGCCCCCTCTGTTCGGGCTCCAGACCCACGAGGACTGGGTATGTCCACAGGGTGGGTCACCGACTTCCTGTTGCTGTCGACTAACGACATCGCAGAAAACCCCCGAAATGATGCAGAGGTCAGAATGATTTTGCACATTTGTCTTTATTCTTGAACCATTAAACCTCGATTCTGATAACACGAGAGATTATAAAAGACAATAACATGTATTTCTGATTATAAAATGTTTCTCACAGTTCGGGCAGAAGTCTTCGTCGGAGCGATCTGGACAGTGTTGCTTCCCATCGCAGGCGTAGGTGATGTCGATGCAGCAGCCGTCATCGCACCTGAACTGGTAGTTTGAACAGTGACCGGTGCAAACTGTGGACACACAAAACTCTAACTGCAACGCTCGCACAAAAGCTCGAACGCTGATGTTTTGCATTGTGAAGAATCTGATGTGGTTTGGTTTTGGTGCGTGCGTCACCTTCTGCTTGGTGTTTGGGTGCCAGCACAGTGACAGAGACGTTGTCGGAGCTCTTCTGACCCGCTGTGTCGGTGACCATCATCTGGAAAGTGTACACGCCCTCCTGCAGACCGCTGATCTTCAGAAGCCCCGGATGGGTCGCCTAAGGATGAGTGACAGCTCTTTTTTTTTTTAAAACACCTCTGTGATGCAAAAATCATATCAACAGAGAAAGTTGCCATTAAATTTGAACGTTGAACGTGAGACACAAACATTCCTGGAGCTGCCTCCTGTCGCAGGAAGGACAGAGTGAAAATATAACCACACATTAATATATATGTAAAGTAGGACGTGTTTTGCTGGCAGCAGAAACCAGGCTCCAACATTTCTGCTGTGTCCTCGGAGCAGGTTTAGTTACAATCATCTCTTATCTGTGTTGATACAGCAGGTCCTTAACGAGCTGGACACAAGTCGCCCTGTTGACTCAACTAAAGCAAACACAGGTGCAAATTTTTTTCATATTGTGAATACAAAAGTTTTCTATAGATCTGTAAACGCCGACCTTCATATTGATGGCTGTGTCTCCTTTGACCAGGGTCCACTCGTAGTGGCTGATCCTGCGGTCGTCCACGCTGTCCCGACCATCCAGGACGGCCCAGTCTGTGGGCAGCTGGATCACCACGTCCTGTCCGGCGTCGCTGCGAGGAGGCTCATCCACATCTGCAGACAAACACATCTGAAGTTATGTGGAGTTTCATTTTAATTTTTACATTATTTCTGGTTTTTATCCACAGTGGGTTAAAACAAAATAATAATTATTACTGTGTTGTGGTGAGATTATTCAAAAGTTTGATTAAAAGATTGATCATAACAGTTTGGACTAATTGCTTTTTATCTTTAAATCCTACATTATAAAGCAGAGACAACTCAGATTGGATGTTTCCTACACAAGAGAACAAAAGGTATTTTTTAATTATGTCAGTCCATAAATCGATAAACTCTCTAATTTGTTGGGGATTTCTGTAAAAGCACTGTAACGTCCACTTTCTTGGATGGTAAAGTAAACAGAACACCTGCTGCTGGTCTCACTCTCCTGAGCTAATTCAACACAACCTTCAAAGGTATTGAAGGCAAATGATTAACTCACCTTGTCTTTATCAGTTTGTAGCGGCTGAAGCTGACAAAGTGTTAGAAAGGTGATGTAAAACTGACAACACCCAGTTTACCGGAGAGATTAACGTGAAGTCAAGAGGCTGCAAAAACTCACACACGGTCAAATCACAACTTTCTGAAATCTAATAAATGTGAAACTGTTGTTTACTTTCATTTGTTTACTACAAACATCACTTCATCAGTGTTTCTCATAGAAACATAAATCTTTACTAAATCTACATGTGACGAGCAATATAAATAAAATAAAGTGAATTCTCCTTTCTTTGTTGTTTTTCAATAATACTGAGATCATCATGTTGCTGATCCTCTAACCCTGGATCTCCTCCATCATCTCCCCACCTGGTGCACCGTCCTCCTCGGCCAGTTCCTCCCCGGGCCTCCTGGCTGATCCTCCGGCCGAGGCAGGGAGTTGTCCCGGGGCGCCGGTGGCGTTGGGGGCCCTGGTGTACGTGGTGAATCCCGGCTGAGGGGCGAAGGAGCAGACGCTCCTGCCCCGGTAGGTGCAGTTGAACAGGTAACAGCTGAGACTGTCGCCGGGCTGCCGCGGCTCCTCCTGCACCACCGCCACGGTGCAGTGCGGCTGGGAGCAGCAGGAGTGCAGGCAGTCCCTCCAGGTGAGCACCCGATCCGGGGCCAGCAGGAAGGTGGCCCCCTGCTCGATGGAGGCCTTGGTGCGGATGATGCGCTCCCCGACGGCGCTGAAGTCGCCTGCGCACGACTCGACCCCGTCGCCGGCCCGGTCCTGCTGCTGCAGCTGCTTCCTGAACTCCTCCAGCAGCTCCTCCACGCCGGAGATCTTCGACTTGAGGTCGGCTATGGGCGGGGAGCGGCCGTCGGTGAGGGGGAAAGAGGAGAGCAGCAGGGCGGAGGCGAGCAGGAGCAGCAGAGGAGGAGAAGGAGGATGCTGCAGAGGAGCCATGTTGTTGTTCGGGAGGACGAACACCCGAGCGTCTCTGTGTCTGCAGCCGCTGAACCTCAGCCCAGAGTCCGGAGAGGAAGAGGAGGCTGCCTCCATCCAGGAGAGATCCGCTGCGGCCCCACGACACACGTCATATCAACATGACCACCGGTCAAAGATGGAGGTGCTCAGTGTTGTCATGGTGAGGGGAGGGTGGGGGGGCTGACGTCACTGTGATGAATAAAAACCACACAGCAGGGGACCGGAAGTAGAACACCTGAACCTGACACGTGTTTATAGAGTCAACAAATCACGAGCAGAAATAAACGTGAGGATTTTTGAGTCTCTAAAGGTTTAAAATGTTTTTTAATACAATTTACTTTATTGTTTTTATTATTGTCATGTCATCAGGAGCGTCTCAATAGAATCTGGGGGCCAGGGGGGAGGGGGGCCCTACATTGAACTAAACAGCCCCCCCCCAAATAAATAAATAAGTACATTTTAAAAATGAAAACACATTCTTACACTTTTATATTTGTATTTAATCAGCTGTGTTTGAGTTTTAAGCAAAAGATGACCATTACTTTTTGTCCACTATCAAACTTAACTTGTTGAGAAAACGTGTTTGTTGTTGAGTTAGCTATCATGAAACACAATAAAATAATCAGCACGTTTACCTGGTTAATTAATACTTTAATTAGTGGCTCATCCAGATGAGAGGTTAAACAATAACCCTGCAGTGCTTAATAATCAGATGATCAGTAAGTCAGGTCTAAATACTCACATACAACACTTATTTTATTATCATTTACACTTATCTAATAATAATACTGGTTGCCATGGTGAGGAGGAGGCTGGTGCTCTTCAGAACCAGGTGACATCACTGTGATGAATAAACACCTGAACCTGACAAACCAGTTCACAGTGTAAACAAGCGCACAATGTTTTTTGCAGCCTCCTCTTTCAATAAAAAAAAAATATATATATACGATAACGACGACATTCAACCACATTTTAACACGTTTCACAGTTTCTGGATGAAAAGTTTTATTCAACAGTATGACACAAAAATCTCGATTCATTTTCGATGAGAAAAATTAGTTCATGATTAGTTTTCCCCATTTCTGACATCGTGTTTCAAAATAAAAAAAAGTCAAGGTTCTTCCATTTCATATTTTCATCACAACATAAACGTGACTGAATCTCGTATATCACACGAGCACGTTTGTCAGTGTACAACAACAAAAAGAGAGCAAATGATGTGACGCAACATTAATTACTAACTTAACATCGTCTCCTATGATTTGTGATACAAGAAAATACAATATTGTCCTGTTTACATTTCACATGTTCATCTCAGACTCGGTCAGGTCCCACATGGAGATTCAACTACGCTAGGTTCATCAATATATCTTTTTTTTAAAGTACGTAAATGTGATTCACATATAATTTTATAACACAATATTTACATGTTTCTGAAAAAAAAAAAAAAATGGAGATTCGTAATATAAAAAGAAATGTGAAAAAACAAATTAAATAAGTCTCTGAACAGTAAAAAACAAAAAAACAGGGCATGCACTGACGTCCTTCAAATAACCATAACAATTAAATAAAATATCAACTTAAATAAAGTAGTGATAAGATGATAAAAACAGGAGTACAGATGGTTTCGAATGCAGTATTTTGTATCTCAGGCTTGTGTTGGTCAGTTCTGTAAACCTTTTAAAGACAGGAGGAAATGTTGTTTTAAGGTTTTAATGGTGGATCTTTCCCCACGAAGCGTCACTTTTAACGCACGAGTAACAAAAAGCGGCGTTGAAGAATTGTCGAATTCTTCCGCAGACACGGCGATCACAGGCCGTGCTCCTGAACGTCTCGCTCTTATAAATACTGAGGTAAAGAAGAGAATACTGAGCGTGCGATTCAGGGACAGAGGTCCAGGCTTCTCCGAGTGGTTGTTGTCTCTGAAGCCTCAGGTCGGCTTCTGCCTGTAGTCTGTGATGGCCTTCCATAGTTTACACAGGATCCCACCTCTGACAGGACAGTGACAGCGTTAGGTTAGGATATATATTATATATATATTATATTATATTATATACCACGACAGACAGTATCATGCAGCATACAAGACATACACTGTTTGTTCTATAACTCTATAAGAAGCTATAAAAGCCTGTAAGGAAGGAAACTGTAATGTTGTTTTGCTTCGTGTTAATTAGTTTGTGGGTCTGTTTGTGTGTGGAGGGATTTGTCTGTGTGAGGGGAGGAGTCATCTAAGATCTGAGTGTTTCCAGCTGTGTGTGTGTGTGTGTTTGTTTGAGACCATGTGGCTCCACACCGGTGAGTTTCTCTGATTTTATTGTGTAAATTGTTTGAGAATTAATTTATGGTTCTGATGTTTCCTAATGGCCCCGAACATCTGGTGATGTCTGACAGAAATGTGTGTTAGTGAGTTCCGATGCTCTTGTTGACTTAGAGGATGTGTAATCTATGTAAGTCATTGAACGTATATTCATGTTATTACTTTGTGTAGTAGTAGTTGGCATGGTTCTGAGTTAATTTATGTTTTATCGTCCATCGACTTAGTGCGGCCTCAGTAAAGTGTTGAATTGCTCTTGGATCTTTTGTTTAAATGTGCAGCTTGAAGATTTCTGACCTTTAAACCACCTGAACTAGATTCAGCAGGATTTAAGATTTATTCTGAGACATGAATCCACATACAGATGTCTATGCTCACATTGGCAAATCTTTATCCGATAACTGGTTCAGGCTCTAGTTGTCGTGTATTTTTGTAACTGAATACTAAAAACAGAAGTCAAACTGTTACCTCAGTCTCAAACTCTTCAGATCTTCTCTCGTGACATCGTGGAGGATGTCGTTCAGCGTGTACTCCTCATTCAGAACCTGAGGGAACAGAATGAGGGGAAACGACTGGTCATACATTTGAAAATAAAAAGTGACTTCTTGTTATTGATGCTTAATTATTGATCTCTCCGAACTGTGCAATATTAATTTCTCTCCGTGCAATTCAATGGCTAATGTGCAATCTGTTTCACTGTATATAATTTCACGTGGCATTTGTTCTGTTTACACTTTATATATATTGTATTCCATTCATATTTTCTAAATGTCCTTGCAAGTACTGTACCTTATTATTACTTTACTGAAATCTATTTTTCACTTTCCTCTGCTGCTGTAACGGCGAATCTCTCCATTGTGGGACTAACAAAGGA